CTAGACTACGAAGGAAAAATTTTATGGTTTTATACTTGTACCAAAAAAGTATCACCACTATATGTTTTTGAAGACAAACGTTGTTATAAAAGAATCCCTATATTCTATAAAAATAAAGTACATTTTGTTGACACACTTTCAAGACGAACATATTTTTGGGATACCGCAGTCCCATGTGAATCAGAAAATAGCCACAATGTAGTACAATTGAATCCTGATGAAGATAAATACTATCTCCTTACACCATACCCTACGTTAATGTAATCACTCAAAACATTTTCACCCGAAAGCATCAGAGCCATTGCTCGTAATCCAAATATTGATTTACAATCAATTGGAATATATTCTAAATCAGATATCCAACATCAAATTAGAACACAACAATTTCAAGAATTATTAACACAAATGGACACAATACAAAGGCAGTCAATTAATCAGAATTTAAGAAAACTTGCCGAAACCGCAGGATTTGCAGATAATTATACACAAGATTATAGCGGATAATTTAGAGACATTAAAGACTACATATATTTAAACGGTGAAAAATACAGACCACAAGATATTTCACCCATAAATATTTTCAGTTTTGTCACCCTATAGAACGAAATTCTAGCTTTTCTAGGATGGCCCTATTACATCTTAGAAAAATTAACTATCTTATACGCCATGTTTAATTTTATAGGATTTCTTTTCTCACTCTTAAAAGGAATCTATAACACATGCGCTATATACACAAGTAAACAGACAAGCAAGTGTAGCACGTATACTGTTTGCAGGCTTTTTTAGAATTTTTTCATCATCAATCAACAAAATACGTCTAGGTGCACAAATAAAAGAATATAACACAAAAATATCCACAAGACAAAACACTTACGACGAAGAACACAATAATATAAAAATAACACCCACCGCACCACAGTTGCTACCCCTACCACAAAACCATTCATTATCATTAGTTCCCCGTAATTTCCGAAACCTAGCAATCACAAATAATCCAAATTCTAGACCAAATATAGCACAAAGCCCCATCCAACATATAATGACACATCATTCACAAAATGATAATACATACGAACAAATTATAGAACAACCCCACACCACCACTTTTCAGTCTCAACATAATCATTTTTTTAGCACACGATGAGCCGATAACTTGGATCCCTCCATCGCTCAAATTCCCACCCAGCCAACCTCCAAACTCAATTCCCAATAATCCCACTTTTTGCTTTCCTACCACCCGATTTTCCGTTTATTAATATATCATCAAGCACGAATTCTGATTTTAACTCAGATATTTCAGTTTTATACTCTATTTCACAATTTAATAACCCTAATGAGGAAACCCCTGACGAATTTGCAGACTCCGAACAATCTCCATCAAATTATACTCAGACCAACTCTTCCGTTTTTTCAAAACCCCCTTTTCAACCAATCCCATCAAATCATCCACTCCCATCCGTTTCCACTCTTTCTTATGCTTTGCAAGTGACCCCAACCTATTCTCCACTTCAATCCGACATATCATATAATAATTCCCCAGATACCCCTCAAATTTCCCAGGATAATTTTTATTACCCTACAACAACAGTTAATACACCCTAACACCCTCACAAAACATCAACTATCATCCACAATAACATTCTCAAATCCACCTATTCCTACACCCTCCTCAGTTTACACTCCATCATTCACACAATCATCCACATCCACCGAAACACCTAGTAGCACTCACGGAGCTTATCGCACTTTTAAACGAAAATTCCCAAATCACCCATTCCCGACCAAACCCGGAACAGCCCGCGAATATATTAATCACCCGCAACATACAAACACGAAAAATTTTCTTGCAATCACCTTACCCTCATTTCCACAATATACATTAAACACACCTAACGATACTAATGACACACGCAACTTTGTAGATGAACATGTTTTAATGCCAACACTTCATTGGACAGCTTATTATCATGTTACTAACCCCCTCTGCCTACCACTAACTGATACTCATGACAGCATAGAAAAGAACAAAGACATGTTATATAGACTCACTACAACACTAACACCTCGACAATTTACTTACGTTGGATATAAAAAGTTACTAAAACATTCACTGCACCCCGAGCTAACGAATTTGCAATAGAATATTACGACCATAATATCATTCGACCTAATCAAGACCAATTTTTACATGAAGACCGCTTCGCAAACCCGCAACTAACAGAAAAATTTTTCATCAAAACATCATACGTATTCACACTTAATATTTTTGATAGAAAGAATGATCACATTATTTCAGAATCACTAGCTGATATTCAAGCATACGAAAGCTTCTATGACAAATTTCAGTTATTTTCACTAACTTTTCACTTTCTTTCACCACAGGAACGCGATTTGCACTGTTCCCACGATATTATGTTACGCACTGAACAAACCCACACATATACATACTATCGTTTTATACAAAATCATTTTGATTTGCTTACCCCATCAAGACAACCTCACCATCGTTTTCAGTTTCTCAACTCAAAGTACACGTCACCAATTTTCCTTAATTTCACATATTGCATCAAAGATACTAACCTCCACGGCATCCTCCGCAACTATGTTACCAGTTACCCAAATGTATATATTCTGTCCCATCACGAAGACCTTCAATGCCGAAGAATCCAGACCCTTCCTTATCCCGCATGAATTTATCCAGCCTATTGAAATACCAATATTAGAATTCATTCACAATACTACATATAATCATAAAATATATAACCTCATTCAAAAAACACCTTACGAGTTTGCAGTAGGCACCGAAGAACTAAAAACCATTAAAGCACTTCAATTGCTTTGGCCACTGCTACAAACTAAAAACATCATACGCATACTAGCCAAATTGCTAACAACATCAGATATGATACACGACATCTTCCCCCACGGTTTTTCCCGGATGATTAACAGGTAAATATAATTTAAACTACCCTTCACCAATAAATTTAAATTAGTACTAACCATTTTCTATCAATGTTTGATTTATATTTCTATTCTTCACACCACGATCATCTACAAAACAGAAAGGAAAAATAAAAATACAATTTGTTAAACTCTCTTAAAATTTGTTAAATTCTTGCATTAAATATTGTAATAAAATTCATACCAAATGTAGTAATTTTTTTATATATTATTTCCCCATGAAGCAGTAAAATTAATTACGATGAAAATTTATAATTTTAAAATTCCCCCAAAAACGCAGTAAACTTCAATTTCTTTGCAATAAATTAATAAAATGGAAAGCAGTACTAATCTTTTCAATATTTTCATTTCACTCGCTCAATAATTCTATCCAAACTTGCACAGCTTGCCCACGAAGAATTGTTTAAATAATGATTTTAAGTTTCAAGCTTGCACTCTCAACATTTCTAACACACGATAACAAGTTTCAAACTTTCCTTTAATCCGGTTGGAAAGGAATTATATACTAAACCAAACAAACCAACGCAGCTTACTAAACACCACAAATCATAAAATAACAGCATGACTAAGAAAAGAAAACCAACGGTACCCAAACCGGATTAACCCAGTTTAAAACTGGATAATTTATTCTTTTGAAGACTATTATAAGGTCTAAGAAAGAAATAATAAAACACAAAAAAGTCGCAAGACAAACCCATACCAAAAACAATTTGATTTTTGAAAAAAGGACACAACCAAAGTAACATAAGAAAGACCAACATAAACCCAACATAAAACGTTATCACATAACAGGACCTCTCAAAGAAACAGCATGAAATCATACTCCCACTCCTGGCCTAACCCACCAGAGAGGACGTCCTGAGCATGCTCTATAGCCGGCCTAACCCATCGCGCTACATCCACGCTTTGTGACCACGCTCCTATTTTTAATAAGAGGTACTCAAGGGTGAGTTACTTTTCAAAATAACCAAACTAAAACAAAACGCTTTTGTGAAAACGACTAACTAAAATCATGATTAAAAAATTGAATTAACATAATTTTATAAAAATGTAAATCATACTTTGCAGTATATAGATCAATACACAACAACCAATACGAACATTCAAAGACTAGATGATTCCATCACACTCGAACAAAAGAATGGCTAAGCACAAACCGACATGCCGTCCACAATCACAACTCAAAGGATTTAGAGTACGACTTAACTTCGCAGAAAAGGACTTCATTGAACTAGACCAATGACCACCTCGATGTTCAAGTATACGTACAGGTCCGAGTTACAAGGCATCCCTTCCACACATGACCTTCACGCCATTCCCAGACGAGGTTGCACACAAAACAAGTTCTCTACATAATACAGAAAAACCTGTCATAGCAAACCATTTTGAAACCGGATTGATTTCATTGGGGATCACGGTCGTTGTCGAAAGACGACGTAACAATTTCCTGTCCATAATTCCAGCGTCCTGGAACGTTCTTCTCCAAGAGGAACCGGACAAGAAAATGATGTTCGCCAAATACCAACGTTCATCATCCATCCTTCAAATTGCAGAAAGATAGTTCTAAAAAAACTATGTAAACCCCGGATGGGTGGAACCTGATTTAAACTACATTTTATAATTGGATAAATGGGATATTTTACCACTGTAAAATATTTAATAGTAACCAATCATAATCCATCTAACTAACAACCCACTTATTTGTAAGTGCTGAAATTACTTGTAATTTCAGCACCAGAGAGATTTGAATTTAACTTCGAAATTAGTTGCCTCTCCAAGAGAACTTCAGCAGTTGCAATAAGCCAGTATACTCTAGATCTATTGAGCCTAGCAGAGACTAGTTAAACACCCTGAGACTAGTAGATATAAGAGTAAGATTAAGATCGGTATTAGACTAAGAAGTTGCACGAATCTATCCGGCCGAAAATAAGATAGCGTGACGAGCAGACGGTGTGCCCTATCCGAAATTACTCTATGAGTTAACCACTTCGGTTAAAACTCAAATAATTCCCCGTCTATGCCAGAAGTCTTCTTTTCAGGGATCAACGAATCCGCCTCTGCCGATGATGCTGATGGCGTGGAGCATGGGAAGGTGAAGGGTGAGAGAGGCCACATACATGGTGAGCTCATGAGTCATGTAGTGTCCTTCTCACAAGTGCAGTTACACTGGACCATACATCCACAACAAAACTTCAAGGTAGGATGCGTCAAACATATTTTTAGCATACCCAAAATCAACATATCGCAGCTTATGCCGATATGTTTCGCTTGGATCTCGTCTGTTTTCAGAGCTCAAATATTAATGATGCTCAATAGCTCCCGCTGCTCCAGTTTTGTACAGAGTGTAACACATTGTATTGACTGCAGATGCGGATACGAGGGAGAGGCCTAAGCCTGGCACAGATTTGACCCCCCCCCCCCCAGAACCTTCTATTTTACGCAATCTTTTTTTTTCAGCCGATTAACCCTCAAGTTTTCTGAGGGCATTTTCGCTGCCAATACATTGAAGGGGGGTGTAGAGCGCAACGGATGCAATTTTAAGGGAATTTAAAAAAAAAATGCCCGCAGCGCAGAAAGTTTTAGCAAAATAGGGCCCTTATTGTGTTTTGGGAAATCTCGAAAATCAATTTAGTCTACCTAAAAAAGGTCAAAAAACTTATCGAAAATTTATGAAAGGTCAAAAAAATTATAAAAAAGTCGAAAAGTTTTCCAAGATGCGCGCTTGATTGGCTGCATTTACATCATGGGCCGGCATATAAAAAGTGGAACGGCAGTAACTGAGAAGTGCAGGTATGTCAAAGTTAAAATACATGTACTTTAGGGCTTCGATGTCAAATGCAACTACAACTTGAACCAGACATTGAGGGAACTGAAGTGGAGGACTCCTGATGGATCATGGCGCAGTTGGCGACTGGGAAATCTGAATGCATCCACGTTCTACGAGTGCTTCGTAGTGGGCCACACACTCAAGGGCACAAGTATGGTTACCCAAGTTGTCATATTCGATACAGTGGCCCAGCCTCCACCTAGCCCCCCTCGGAATCTGCTGGCATCAGCAACACCCCATGTGCCCTCGTCGGTGGTGATCACGTGGGACGAGCCTCAAGTGGGACCCCTAGAAGGACTCATCACAGGCTACCAGGTGTGGTACTCCAGTGGCCACGACCTCACCCAGCAGAAAATAATCCAACTAGGTCCAGAAACCACTGAGGTACAATGATGTGTAATCATAAAAAAAAGTGGAAAAAATCAAGTTCCTGAGCAGGGGCGGCGGATTTAGAGGGGGGGGGTCTTTTTCCCTTAGGGATTTGACCCCCTGCCGACCCAAAGGTACTTTTGGTATTTTTTAAGAAATCCATTTTTGGCCGACCGACCCTAAAATTTTTCTAAAGGCGCTTTAAGACTTTTTTGATTTTTTTTTTCGAAAATTTGCCTGCGGCGCGATTATTTGTGTCCAAATAGGGTCTTCATAGTGCTCTGGGACTGCTCGGAAACTCACTTTGTTCGACCTAAAAATAGGTTGACCAAATTTTCAAAAAAAAATTGAAAATCCCATACCAGCCCCCCCCCCTCCCCCCTCCCCCCTCCCCCCTCCCCCGAGAAAATCCTAGATCCGCCCCTGCTCCTGGGTCCATTGTTGTCATCCACCAGTCATAGCACAAAATATACAGATTGTCTAATCTGTATCTGTTTTTCTCTCCCTTTTTAGGTCTCCCTGCCCCTGGTTGCTTCCACTGAGCACTCTCAGATAAGAGTGGAGGTGGCAGCCTTGTCTGGTCTAGTTTTGGGACACAGGTCAGACCCTGTCCTCGTCCAACTAACTGACCCACTGCTCCAGCCTCAATCGGGACCCTCCTCCTTCCCTCTTTCCCTGATGAGGAATCCCTGGCTGCTGGTCTCTGTGGGGGTGCTGCTGTGGCTGCTGTTGTTGTCCTTTTGTGTCTTCATAATTAGGAGATGCCACCTGTCTCGCAAATTATCCCACTCAGGTAGATAATTCAAGCCATAAATTCCTTAATTTTATCCACATCTTCTGTATGATATTAAAATTTCACGCCCCTCTCTCTCTCTGTGATGCTAATATAGTTTAGGTTAAAAATACACAAATGCGAGCTGGCGAGCGTAGTGTTTTAAAATGTCTCTACTTTTTTTTCAACCAAACTCGCAAAAAAAATTGCTCATTTGGTGGCACTTTTGCTATAATCACGATCTGTAGCATTGGAAATTTCATAGCATCTTTTCTCTGCTCTATTGGCGACTAGTGTTTGCGGCTAGTCAAACGTCTGTCGATCAAAGGGAAGGACGTAATTTTCTTGCCGAGCTCAAACTTCACTGGCAATCAAGCTCAAAAAACTATGTTTTTTCTTCTCTCAAAATTGAATGAGAAAAATGGTCAGCATTTTTTGACCATTTTTCTCATTTGCAACAAGAACAGCTCTATGAATCGATCAACTGTCTCCCTTTTGCATGCCATAAATGGAGACTAGCGCCGACGAAGTAACTTTAGCTGCAGATTAAAAAAGGATCAGCTCCAGCAATATTATGGTAATCACTTTCCACCAGATTGGGCCGCTACACTTACCATGTTTTTCAAATTTCAGTGCGACGGCACAAAATATCTCTGCTTTTATAGGAGTTGTAAAAGATGCTAGAATGGTGCTCAGAATAACTTCTGTCCATTTCATTCGGCTCAGCATCATTTCGATCGGCACTGAATCTTCTTTGTTGTTTCAGGTCATCCCAACTCGCAGTGGTTTACGATGGAAGACGCATTTCGACAGGGGGTCTACCCAGGGGACAACTACGACCACCCCCGCAACCACCAGCAGGTCACGAACAGAGGCGGAGGTTACTCTCGGAGCGGCACAGGTAACAGATAGCACCTTGTTCATTTCGGGGAACAGCTCTTAAAACTTTTTTGGCTGCGATGAAGAAGTTATAGACAGAAAAAGGTCTGTTATGACATTTACACGTGCTCGGAAGGTCAATTTGGTATAATAGTATATGGAAGCGTTTTCTGTCGTGAGTCAGATTCAAAAAAAAAACGAAGAACATTTCACAGCGTCGGGAAAAAATTGGTCTGAACTCTCCGTTTTCAAGCTAAGCTTGATGTGAGTCTGAAATTCTAATTTGTTCTCAAACTATTTTTTACAAAATTTTAAGCGTCAGTGAACGAAGTCAAGACACTTAGTTAGGTCATTTGGTTAGTTTGTTTTATTTTTCGGGAAAATAGTGCCACACTCAAATTTGATTGTTTTTTTTTTGCGATTTGATTGGTGATAAATATTTTAAGTTCAACAACTTTTCTGCCACAAAAAAATGCCAATTACGCTCTTCAATTAGAAAAATGCAATTTGACGAAGAAGCGTTAATGACATTAAGTTTCTAAAGTGGATTTTAATATAAGATTTTCCAGCAAAAAAAAAGATCATTGATCTAGCTTTCTCCAATTGGGTTAGTTTTAAAAAATGGCACTGATAAAAATTTTCGAAAATAAAAGAGCTCTAAAATGATGTTGAAAGGTGCTCAAAGAATTAATCGATTATTATTCGGGATTTCCTTGAGTTTATTGACATTTTTTAAAATCTGTTGTCTAAGTTTAGATATTATAACTACTCTTTCTTGCAATTTTTAATCAACTCATTCGCCCTTTAGCAAAAACAAAAAATATTATGTACCTGCACAGTAATAATGGGTTATCTTCGTTAGTTAAAATGATTGATTTGAACGTATTTTGAAAATGATTACAATAAAATTCTTTTCAGCACAAAACTGTATGGCGCCCAACGAGCACTCCCAATTGCATCCTTGTCATCATCATCATTATCATCAGCATCATCATCCCTATCAGGCGGGGGAAAATGAGACCAGCTGTAATCCAAGGGAACCTCAGAGGCAGTCTGGGTTGGGGCAGCTGGAATGCAGTAGTCGGTCTGTGCCCAACTTAGTCTGCTCATCCGATGTCGGCAGCAGCGAAGAAAGGTACGAGGAGATCTCAAATGGCAATGCATGGGTAAGAGAGGTCAGACAGAACAAGGATGCGTCTCAACAGGGGCGCCACATTACCACATCTCGCAGCAGTCAACAGTGCTGTGGTGACCCCCCAGGGACACTGAGTGGCTCGTACTATGTGCCCCACTATGACGTGTATGATGCTGCGGCTGGAAGGGATAGTGGAGACGGCGACAGTTCCAGCGATCCTTGCAATCTGTACGAAAGAGCCACTTCGCCTGTTGCCTGTGGTATGTCTCCGCCGCTCCAAGACACCTCATCATCCGCATCTCCCAACACCGCCAATATCCCAAGTAATTAGAACTACTAGTTCGTTTTTATCCATATTTACTCTGAAGATCCAAACGCATCAAAATTCTTATTCGTTGTTTGAGGGTGATACAAAACTTCCAATCCCACAAAGATACCCAAAACTTGTATTTTGGCGGCCTTAATTGGCCTAATTTCCAAAAAAATAATTTCAGAATATAAATGCCTGGGGTGTTTTTTTATTCAGACCAACTTCAGCTATCCAAATAGTTGTTATTAGCAAATAAATTTTTTGAACCAAGTGAATATCGACTCATTGAGTTCAATTGTGCAAGGATATATTTTAGTTTGGTTCTTACTTTGCGATCATTTTTGGTAAATCTTTGGGGGTTTTAAAAACGCCAGCGATCCGCTTTGAAGATTTTATCTATGATGTTAAACTTTATCTATGATAGTTCATCAAAATCCACTGACAACAACCCAGACCAGGGGTAGTCGGAGCATTCAAGATTTAAGCACAGGGAAAAATACTTTTAAGTCATAAGTCAAATTGGCATAAATTTTGGCCGGGTTAAGTCACTGCCTACGCGATAATAGCAAAAAAGTTTACTGCACGAGCTCATTGTCAAACACAGACCACAATGGAATTTTTTAAAGGCCGATAAAATTCAAGGAATATGTTATTCAATGTGAGCTCAGAACATCCCTAATTTTTAGATCATTCAAAAAACAATGATGAAATTAGCTAGATAGAAACCGAAATTTGTTTGATGAAAAACAAACACACCGAGCACAAATATTCTATTTTTTCTCCGAAATTTTGGACCATGAAGCAAGCTAATAGGTCACAGGGGCGGATTTAGGGGGGGGGGGGGCGGGGGGGATGGACGCCCCTCCCTCAGGGATTTGACCCCCTGCCGACCCAAAGGGTCCCCCCCTTTGATACTTTTTCAGAAATCCATTTTTGGCTGACCGACCCTAAATTTTTTCTAAAGGCGCCTTCGGCGCCAATAAATGCTATTTTTGAGGGGGAGCGCGCGCCAAAAAAACGCATTCAAAATTTTTCAAAAAGTGCCCAAAAACGGCTTTTTTGACACTGTTTTTTCAAAAATTTGCCTGCGGCGCAGAAAATTTTGCCAAAATAAGGGCAAAACAGTGTAGGGCTTTAGGAGAGCGCGAAAAAATAAAAATCAATTTGGTCGACCTAAAAAAAAAAAAAAAGGTCGTCAAAATTTTGGAAAATTTTTTGAAAATCCGCCCCCCCCTCGAGAAAATCCTAGATCCGCCCCTGATAGGTCATATCAGTTCATTACGTTGAATAAAAATTCACATTGATATTTGTTATTGGCCATCTGAAATCAATAGTTTATTAAAATTCCATTTAACAAGAAAAATTCGAGACCAGTTAAAGGGCGGTCAAAATATTCAGGGCTTTGTCCTGATATACGAGCAGTCTTTTATAATTGAGCAATATAGGTTAAAGTTGGGTCAAGTTTCCAATTAAGCATTCTTTGCTCTGACTTTTGAAGAAAATGACGTAGTGAATATTTTTCATCGTCGTGGTCTTTTGTTCCGACTTTCAAAGAAAACGGAATATTTATGTTCAGTGTGTGGGATGATGTTTTAGGCAAAATTGACAAGCACCACATTAGCGGTCAATTGTCAATTTTCGCTGATCGAAATAAAAATTTTCGACAAAAATTTTTTATACCCCATTAAAAATATCAAATCCTGAGTTCAAATTTAAAACGATATTTTACCTCCGGTAATTTTTTGTAAAGTTCTGGGGGTTCGAAAATTGCCCAATTGACCACGTTCTGGACAAAATTATGCGCGCTTTTAAGAGTATATTCATAATCCTGAGAGCGTAGCCCGGATTTCTAATGCGTGGCCAGTTATCTCGCACAACAAAGTCTTTCCAAATTGGATTGAGGCTAGCTAATTGGTCGTATTAGTTTGGTACAACTCAAGTTTTCACACTTTGATATTGTCCAAATTTTATAAGTTTTCACTAACTTTTTTTCCCAAAAAGTATTCGATACAAACTAAAGGAGAGTCGGAACATTCAGGGCTTTGCCCTGATATACGAGCAGTCTTGTTTCTCTCTAGACAATTTTAGACGTTTTAACCGGCCATTTTGGACGGAGTTTTGTTTTGAAAATATAATTTGAATCGTATTGATAGGCTGATCTCAACTTCAAAATAATATATAATTTACAAGTGATCTTTTCTTGCAAAGTTATAAAGACTCAAAAATTGTTAATTTGGCTTCTTTAGCAGTGATTGAGTCCACCTCAAAATTGTTCCAAGTTAAATTGAGGACTGTCAGCGATTCCAATTTTTACAGTTTTGCACGCTAAAATTATCATTGTGTTTCAAATGCAGTCCCGGCCAAAATTGCAGTCCCGGTCAAAATTGACCCCCATTTTGATCTGTGTTTTGCATCGGAGGGTGCCGAATGATCCCAATTTTTAGGAAATTGGGCCCAATTTTTGGTCCTCGTTTTTCCAGTATGTAAACAAATTCGCCGAATTCTTCAAAAAGGACTGAACGAGCCCAAGTTTTAGCAAAAGGGGCTGAATGAGTCCAGTTTTAAGCAGATTGGTCTCACTCAGTATCCTAATTTTGATTTAAATTGTCAAAACAAACAGTAATTCTAAGGATTGCTGGAACACATGAGGTACAGAGGTCTTGGGAACTTGAGGTCGAATTACTTTTGAATAAAAGTGACCGAATGAGCCCAATTTTTGTTCCATGATTTGCAATGGAAGAAAATGAATGAGCCCAATTTTTTAAATTTAAATTTGGCGCTTAATTTGGCGCCATTGGGTCTACTTTTTCCGTGATTACTAGGGGATTAATCGTACTAAAAATTGAGCTCATCCGGACCCCTTTTCTGCAAAAGTTTCGACCAGGGGTCGAAACGTTCCAGGCGTCACGGTACGATCAGTTTTGTGGTGTATCTGATCAACAAAAATGTCTGCATGGAGATACAACACAATCATATTAACTGGTTCATTTTACCAGTCGGAGCATGGTTCCATCATAATTTATTGTGTGTTTAGAAACCACAAGCGTGAATTCTTATCCAGTGCAACCGCCCTCTGCATCCACTGCCACAACAACAGCAGCCGCAACAACAGTCCAACTGAGACCCAAAATGGGCAGCCACGCCCTCATGCAACCACGTCGCACCACATCCATCCACGGCCACATGGGCCTCCTTCCTCCCCCTCCCCCTCCCCCTTCTCACACTCACAAGGACTCTAGACGAGACCCTAATCATGACCACATCAGGGTCCCACCCCACAATGCAGTCACAATGCTGCCCCGCACAAGCACCATCATGCCACTGGTGCAGACATCAGCATTATTCCTCCCCCCATCCAATGAGGACAACTGCCGGCACACCCCCACCCGCCTATCGAAATTCAAATCATCCACCTCCTCCCAACCCCCTCCTCTCACTCCCCACCCCTCGTCATACACGTCACCACTGTCAATGGTTAGTACGTACACCAACGCCACCGCCACTGGAACCAATCCTGACAGCATCAGCAGCAGAAAGCTAAACAGGCGCGGCGAGTTTAACAGAAGTACCACAGACGACAGCATTCCTGCGGCCTCTCTTTACTCTCAAGTTCAAACCGTCTACTATCACGAGTTGGATCCCTGCAGAATAAGCAAGTCCCCCCTAGGAGACGACACTTACTCAGAAGGGGAGTGCACAGTGACTGATGCCTATGAGGAACTGCCCAGCTTCTCCGGCAACAGTGTGGGGGACCGAGAGGGATCTCTTTCGGACATCAATCACAGACCACAGTCCATATACAGCACATGCTGATCGGCACAAACAATTGTGCTAAAAAGACAATTGAATCCAGTTCCCCACCCCCGACAGACACTCCAAACTCAAAAGTAGGAGCAAACGAAACAAATCAAATGTCAACACGAAGGAAAGTGTGGAATTGCTGCGGCAATACCTACTAGAATGTATAACACAATATTTTTGTACATTTTCATTTTTACATAAAAAACGGTCATTAAAAAAATATTTTCAGATATCTCTTGTAAAAGAAAAGAGAGATACGCAGCCGAGAGAGATACGCAGCCGAGAGAGATACGCAGCGGTGCTTTAAATTTGTACTTGCGCTATAAAACATTGACTTTGCAACAGAATGTTACGAATGTAAAGGTTACCGCATCACAACAGCACTATCAGCGGCAATTATCCTCATGAATGTATTTTCAAACTGCCCCAGGCAACATATTTTTCAAGCTCAGGATATCAGCATCTTCGAGAAAACTCATGAAAGTTTCAATTGAAACTGTTGATATGACAATCAACATTTATCAGACACCCCCCCCCCGCCCGCTGAAATTCGACCACCTGACTACTCAAAGTCGACCCACCCCTCTTTGATACTTTTTTGGAACTTCCATTTTTTGATGACAACTTTTGGCTGACAAGTTTTTTTGCATGTTGTTTTTTTTTCAATTCAAATAAGGCACAAGAAGTCAAAATAGGGTCTTATTGTGACTTGGAAAATGTTCAAAAACTTGATTGATCGACCTAAAGAAAAGGTTGACAAAGTTTTCGACAAAAATTGAAAATCTCCCACCCTTGAGAAAATCCTAGAATCATGGTTAAACCCAAGTTTTAACACCACATGAATATTTTAAACAACACAAAATGAAACAACAGCCGACTTGACCATGGCCGAAATAGTTTTGAAAGGAAAACAATAGGCGACACGAAAAACTCTTCCGGAAATTGACCCAGAAAATATTCGACGCGGAAATAATTGAAACGGAAACTAAACCAATTCGAGTAGCTTAAACCACAAACAAATGTATTTTTAAAAAAGATTTTCAATACAACGGATGTTCGCAATTACGTATTCTTTTAATCTGATAAATTGTTCTCATAATGTTTCAGAAATTCCATTAAACCACTATATGCTGAAGTTTTTGGCCCTGTGACTAAAATTTGGGGATGCCTAAGCCTGCATCGCATTTTCTTACTTTTCTGAAGCCTCGTCTCTGGTTTTTTTAAAATCAGCTTTCACAAAACTTGACAAGCTGTCTATAAATCCTATGTTATATGTATAGCCATCGACCGCTTGTTTCTCCATTCTGTAAACTTCTAACATTTTTTTGTAAGTATCAGCCATCCCAAAATTAGCATCAATTATTTTCTTGCCTGCAAAATGCTTCGCTAATTTGATTACAACCTTCTAGTCTTAATATTAAAATGTCAAAAACGTTTAAATTTTGGCAAACAAATACTATTTATGTTCAACAAAAAATCACCCATGTTACAATACCACCTTCCTATCTTAAGGATTACCTAACTCGTTGTCAAAATAATCTACACCAAAGATAACTTCTGCTCCTTTTTCTTGTAATTTGCAATGTATTCTTTTAAAAAGTCTTAGTCTTTCAGGCACATTCAGAGCAAGCTTTCTTTTTTTTTCCGTTTTAGTTTTTATTTTGACCCTATCACTGTCTTTATCTAAAAAATTTTCTTCAGTGAATTTTTCATCGCTGCGTTTGATCTAAGCTGACTGAAATTTCTTGATCTCCTACCTCAAGTGTCTGAAAATTTTTTTTCTCTGGATGTACTCCACATAGAGATATCTAGTTAAAAAACTATAATTCGTAAAACAAAAAAACTTCCCGGAATCCCAAATACTTGTTTGTTTCAAGAACAATTTTCATCACTGTTGTAGCACAAATGATTTATTTAAAAACATGCGAAGTGGAACAACAACTTAAAAAAGCGTTCGAAAAAATGTAAATGTATAATTCATTTCCAAATTCAAAAAAACTGGCTACTGAAGAAATTCAACGAAAATGGCTACTCGACCAGACTGATTGACACGAAGGCGAAGATTAACATGGCACACAGAAGCAAAAAAAAAATGGTATATTGATGCAATGAAAGCAATAATAATGACATAAGTTAAGCTAGATTTGATTAAAAAAAATTCATAGAAAATAGAAAAAAGTAGGATTCAAATGAACTATCTGCTGAAAAACACGAACAAGGCTTTTAAAACTCAAGTTTATGTTATACCGGCCCAAAAACCGAGCCGATAACCTCAGTTTCGGCTTAAAACCGTTGAAATTTTAGTTAATGAGATCTAACTCCGGGAGGAGGATGTGAGCGAGGGTGGGGGTGAGAGGGACAGTAAAGTTATTTATACGTTCGGTCTGTTGGACTAGGGGTTTACTACCAATCATTTCCAGCTGGAAAAACTCCTGCAGAGTTTGTAACGCAAACTCATAGTTGCATGTAAATGGTAAAATGCATGTACGTACCCATATAGGTTCTTTGGTTCAATTTGCTCAAAAAAAAACATTTTGCCAGCAAATGTTTCTTTCTTTCACAATCGACTTGAAACCGTCTCGGTCAAATTACACTGTTATGTATGTGCTGATGTTACACATGACAAGAAACTTGATTACATCCGGCCTAATCAATTTTTTGGCCTACAAATAAAGTTTTTGCGTATGTCTGAGTGTTCTTATTGCCTTGTTTTGGTATTTCATTTGCTCGACAATGTACAGTCTAATATTATTTTTTAAGAACCAATTCACCTTTTTACCCCCGAATCTTCTCTGGCCGATTGGTCCAAAATCAAGATTATTGCAAAAAAGAAAAACAAATCTCCCAGCACGCCTGTGAAAAAACTTCAAATGCCTTCGGCTAGAAAATTGTTTCAAAATTACTAGCAAAAACTTAAATTCAAATTTTAAGATCCATTTTTAGTAGGCATTACTTTTGTTAACTTTGACAGTTCATCACAGTATTGAATAATTAATATCTCGTTAATGTATTCAAATTCCATATTAGCAGATCAGCAACAAAATCAAGTTAAATATTAAAAAAATGTGGCAAATATTGTACACTATATGATTACATTTTTAACGGCTAGGAAATTGAGCAACCAGTTTTTCAGTAAAACAACTTAAAATCTATTATAAATTCAAATTTCAGTTACAAATCAGTTGATCAATTGTAATATGAAAACCTTGTTTATATAAAAGCATATATAGTCTTTACAAAATTAATGGCTTCGTAGAAATTCTACTAGTTGGAACGCGGCACTTACAAAAAAAGTAGGTAATTGAAGTTTTAATTACTTCGTAAATTTTGATTTGATTTTCAACAAATCAAAATCCTCGACAACCTCTTCAAATGGTTTTTTCTTTTCAAGTATTTTTATAATTTTTGAGGGGAATTTCATTGTTTCTAATGGATCCTTTCGAAGCCATTTTCATTGTTTTGTCATGCTCATTGTAGTCACAGTATGTTTTACTGTTCAAACAAACCATCTCCGTTCAGCTCAACTCCTTTGGAAAATTGAGGAGTTCGATTGTCGAATTTCTTGTTAATATTGACTGACATTCTGTATAAATACCCAGTGCTATTACCCAAAAAGGTATCACTACTATCATCAAGTCAGAGTTCCCTTAAAAAATGTCGATTTTGATCCCCACCGTTCAAAAAAATCCAAACATTTCAGATAAACAATTTTTAAGATTTTTTGAGAAATGATCCCAAATTAAATTTAACTTCAGTACCATCAATTCTTAGTAAAAGAACAACACAAAAATTATCAAATTTAACCCCCACTCCTCAAAAAAACCCAAAAGTTTCAAAAAAACTAGTTTTTTGATTTTTTCAAAATTGATCCTACATTAGAGGTAACATCAGAATGATCAATTCTAAGCAAAAGAACATTGAAAAAAGTATCGATTTTGAACCCCCACCACTCAAAAAAACCATAAGTTTTGTTAAATTTCTTCTTACTTTTTCAAAACTGATCCTAAATTAAAGGTAACATCAGTACCATTAAGTCTAAGTGTTAAAAACAATGAAAAAAGTATCATTTTTGGACCCAATTTTCTCAAAAATCTACAAATTTCAATAATAAAATCAATCTACTGATTTTTAAAAGTGATTCTAAATTAAACGTAAAAACAGTGAAAAAAATTTGATTTGTGTTATCATTTTGTTAAAATTAATTGTAAAACAGTCATCAAAAATTTTCTTTTTTCTATTGATCTTTTATCAAATGCAAGTATGAATTTATACCTGGTCAACACTTTCTTTTTTTTTCCAATTTTCTCCAGGAAAAAATGTTTTGTGGGACAATGGGAGGTGGCAATTACAGAACTGCCGTATCTAGCAATATTTAATTATGTAGTCGATGGTTTTGCTAGATGCGATCGGAAAAATCACATCACCAGGAGGCACCAGCTCGTTCGCAGATTTCAACAAAAACATGCGTATGAGTCTTAAATCATTTTAAACATATAAAAGGTTAGTTTTATCAAAAAGCATCCAAGCAAAATCAATACAAAAAAGACAACAAAGGGTCGCATGATGGTTTATGGGTTCTAAATGAGCAGCTGCCAGACGTGACTGAAAATTTGATTACATTCAAACTTTTTTCGCAACCATTATCCAATGTCCTCCTGGTTCAAGTTTGGGTGAGTTGACTATTTATTTTATGTTGGCCAGTACCATTGCGAATTGAATTTCTTTTGCAGAAAAAAAACTGTTATTTTTGAATTTCAGGTGAGGAATTTTGTCTATGACTTTTTTCAGAGAATAAAAAATCCATGTTTCAAAACTATGCCGTTTTGATCAATTGAGACTGTTGTCAGTCGTTCTTCTATAACCAACGCTTCCATAGGTTCTGATGTCCCTCGACAAAACTCAATTGAATTTGTGAATTGCTCTAAAGTAGGCTGGCAGTATATGAGTTGTGTCAAAGTGTACAATGGCGTCACCATTTCAAACAATGCGTTTTGATGTTGAATTATGTTTCAAAAATTCAACGTTTTCCAATGACCGCTGAAGATAGCATTCGGGCACATGGCAACTGCTAGTCGTCGTATAGGTTCCAATTTGAAAACATCTTCCCGGACGAACTGATTCTGAGCCGCAGGTATTGCAAGTGTTTTGCTTTTCACTT